GGTTCAGCTTCAAGGGTTTAAGTTTGTTTTTGTGTGTGAAGACCTGCCATCATCATCATCATCATCATCCATGGTTCTTCTTTGTTATCTTTCTTTTTTTCACCACACTTTTGCATATTCACACTCAGTGTTTATTCTGTATGAACAGATGTTATCTTTGACCTTCCAAGTGACTTGGTCACCAACGCCATCAAAACATGAACATGCCCCTCTTCCTCTTTCTACTTCCACATGCACTTATTGTGATACAGTTAACATGAACGATCCTGTCAAGAGGCAGTGGATTTTAATACACTCTCAAGTACTTCTGAGACACGTGTAATTCAAGCATGCCTGGACTCACTTAACAACAATACGCCAGGCACAATAGTGGTTTGGATTTGTATACACATATGCAAGCTAGTGTATAAAAATAGACAAAAACACACCCAATACTAATGAGCATGAAGCAGCCTTGACTTTGAAAGAACCATTGTTTACATTGTGTCTATTTCCTGATAAAGACTGACAGAGAGTAGGTGGTGCATGTGTGAGCGAGAGAGTTTTTTTTTTTGAGGGTGGGGGGCTTTGTTGGCTGAACCTGTTTAATTCAGTGTGAGTCTCTGCTGCCTGGCATCTGCTGATCCCTCTGTCATGGCCCTGCTGGGTGGACTCACTCACTCACTCACGCACTCACTCCACTGGGAACAGGAGAACACTAGAGAGCAAGGAAAGGAGGTATATTGAGAGACAACATAAGTCAGATACAGTAGTTAAAGAGACAGTACACCCAAAAATGAAATTTCTGTCATCATTTACTCACAGCATCATATCGTGTTTCTTCTATGAAGAATCTAAAAGAAGATATTTTGAACAATGAAAAGAAATAGAAAAGATAAACTCATGCACAGTATTACAAGTCTTCTAAAGCCAATAGCTTTGAGGGAGGAAAAAACAAAATTTAATTGTTATTCACTATTCACTTACCTTAAAAATGCACCTGGACACAGTGTAAAAATGTTTGTGTTTTTTTTAGAGAAAAACTGTAAAAATGACCTGTTGAATAGTATTACCTGTATGTTACCTTACCATATAAAGTTAAAAACTGTGAATGGTTTAGCTTTGCATTATATGTAACCAAATTTATGGAGTTTGCCAGTAAAAACTATAGCATATAATTAATGGTGGACACATTAAAAGGACATTCACAGAGGTCTCAGCGTGAAACATATAATTCAGTTTTATTTAAATATTATTTAGTTTCTTTTTATTTGCATTATTAATGTAGAATAGGGAGTTATGTGATGCATTTTATGTTGTTCAGTTAATGTTTATGGCATTATTTTACTGTTGTGTATTAGCCTGATGGTGTTCTGTGTAGCTGATTTTTTAACATTATATTACTTGATTAAATATACAGTTATAAGTGGTAGAATATACAGGCACCAATATGCCAGCCCGCAATACCTAAAACATTGTCACCATATTTTTTTATGGTGAATTTCTGACTTTTTTTTTTTTACTGTGCATGCATGGTCACCATTCACTTTTATTATAGAAAAGAATAGCTTGAGCATTTTCTGTCTTGCATGGAAGAAAGAAAGTCATATGAGTTTTGAAAGATTGTGTGAGTAAAGAATGACAGCATGTTCATTTTTGGGTGAACTATTGCTTAAAATACAGTGATAGTGAAGGGAGTGCCTGTGCACTAATAAGACAATGCACTGCTCTTTCTCCTGTAAGTGTTATTGAAAGTCAGTAGACTGTGACCTATGCTTAGCCAAAACATTTTCAGAGGTTCGTTTCTCAAAGCAACACATACTAGGCACTTTTCATTCTTTTAAAATCTCTGAAACTGTAATGGATTCTGCATGGTGCGGTCCAGTATATGGAATGATTTATCACCTATAAAAAACATCTCACACGCCGATCATGGTTGTCATCTGGTGTTTTCTCATTGTCTGTCTCTGCAGTGGTTTTCTGTTATCCAAAGCTGTTGGCCTTATCTTTCCTGTTTCATCTTGCCACTCTCTTTCTGTTTTCACCAGTGGGATAATGAAAGGTAAGAGATAAGAGATCCTTCCCCATCACCAGCAGCATGGAGCCTTTCCCATGGGTCCATCATCCAATGGGAATGAGTCAGGGTGTTATGAATAGCTGATAGACATGGAAAGGGAAAGACAGTATTTGTTTATATGTGGTGTGGTGTGGTGGGGGTGGGGGTGGGGGGGCAGAGAGAGAGAGACTGTCATTGGTGACTGAATAGCAGCATCCTGGTTTGGCTTTCTGCCAGCCTCTGCCTCAATGCAAGGAAAGATGCGGTTGTTAGATGGGGTTTGGGAATATGATAGAAGGACATTAAAAATGTGTATTCATATTTCAATATACAATACAAAACAGTCATGCAGTTGTTTGTCTATCTTTATTAAGATGCTCATATATTATTAAAGTGACAGTTGTTCTCGTGTTGTTCCAAACCTTCATGACTTTCTGTGGAACATAAAATAAGTTATTTTGAGATGTTTTTCCCCCATAAAATGGAAGTCAATGTACACCAAAACTGTTACAGTCATCCTCATTCTTCAAAATATCTGATTGTGTGTTCTGCAGAAGAAGAAACATTCATTGGAATGACATGAGGCAGAGTAAATGATGACAGAATTTAATCTCACACACTTGATCATATCATGTTAATATAACTGAATTATGAGCATATTATGTGTGAGCTACAGATTTAAGATGGAAGGAAACCTTGAATAAAGAGAGATGACAGATAAACAAGTAGCCTATTGTATCAGCCTGACAAAAACTTAACCAACACATATACACAAGACAAGATCTGTGTGAGAGAATGTTTAACACCTCAGCAGTCCTCTGTGGGAAGAGGCTAAATAAAAACATCAGATAAAGCTTTTAGTGTGTCACGGTGTGCTTTTCCTCTCCTATAATTATAGTTGATTTTGGACCTAGATTATGCAGAACATGAAGTCCTGGCTCAGTTAACTGGCAGTCATTGAAAACAGACAATAACTTGGCTCTCCACAAGCTTATACATTAAGCTCCAGAGCTTCATCAGGCAGGTTTTCTCAGAAGCTTCTCAGGAACATTTATTCGGAAAGTGGACTACCGCAGACCGCTGACATAATCGCCATTGTTTCATGTCCAAGGTTTATGAATAAAATGGAAACAATTTTCAGAGAGAGAACTCAAAATGGAACTAAAAGAGATAAACAGATGGTATTTTGCTCATATTCTGTATTTAAATCAGGCAAACTGATTTTTCAGGGAAGAAAGTTTTCATTTCTCTCCACAGTCTTTAATAAGTAAATAAAGATAAATGATAAAGCAATAAGCTTACATAACACTTATGGTGGTACATTTGCTTTAGGCTCTTTTGTTTTGTTTACATGTCAGCATATAAAAACCACACGCTTCTGTTGCAAGTGATAGAGTGAGTATGGAAGTGGAACTGATATACTTCACTTTTTAAATTGTTTATTTTCAATAGAGAGACGGATCAGTAGTAGCTTGGTGTTTAATGAGAAATGCTTGTAATGAGAGAGGATTGACGGTTGAGGTTCATGGCCCAGGGGACTGTGTCTTTGTGTCTCAAGAGTTCTCTGTTTTCCTCTGTCATGGCTAACAGTTAAACCGAACCCTGAACAATGGATGCAAACACCATTTGGCCTCTCAGAGCCCGAGTGGGAGTGAGTAATGGGGGTTTAAAGATCAGGCTGCTGCTTTTTTTCCAAAACGTCTTTCTCATTCTCTGCGTCTCCTCGTTAATTACATCTAGTCTACACAGACCTCATCTTCAATTAGCAGCAATGTAGAGTTTAATATTTTTTGGTGCATTATACTCCCCTACAATGCCTGTAAATCATATTAAAAAAATAAAATATGCACTTGTATGTGTGTGTGTATATATATATATATATATATATATATATATATATATATACCTTAAAAATATTACATAAAAATAAAATCTGTAAATATAACTGAGATTATTTAAAATAATTCCGTTATTGCATTCTTTGTCTTCACAATTGCTTCTCAATAGCACATAAAGAAGCCAAAAAGTGAAAGTCTACTTTAAGTTATTTAAATCACTTTGAATTCACCCTCTGCTACTTTAGTTTATCAGCAGCCCCATTGTATACACAGACGAGAACAAACACTGCTATAGTGAATCTGTGCCAGTTAATGAATTAACCCCATCCCCCCATAACACCCCAGTTGGCTGAGCCTCAACACATGATGTAGTCCATTTAGCACAACTGCTTTAATGAACAAACTCAAAAAAATTAAGATTTCTCCACTAACTAATTAATAATGAATATTGTTGTAGTTATGGACCATCATATAACTTTTCTCTTGTCTTACTAGGCTGCAAAAAAATTATTTAGGCCAGAATTTCAATTAAATCCTCTTTTTTTGTATTCAGCTGGCAAAGCCTCCTCTCCTTTAACAACTTACCGTGTTTTAGCCTTGCTGAAGTAACAGCACCGTCAAATCACAAGGTTAAAATGTTGGCTAAATGATTCAGGCCTTGACAGAATGGAAAAACGAATGTGAATGCTCCTAAGTAGATGCCAGAATAAAACCCAATGATTTCCCCCACCAGATATATTTTATTAGTTACTTACCATGAGCTGTTAGGAAGGCAAAACAATTACGTAATACGTAACACATTGAGGGGCGGTTACCTTGGAAACTTTCCTGCGTTTTCCAAACCGGGATTCGGCTCATACTATTATTTGCAGTATTAGGGGTGTTCAAACGATGTGCAGACACTTTAACCCGCTTTCTTGTCCTAAACAATATTTTTGTTTTATTGTAAGAACATATTAAGATACTACAGGCAATATTTGTGTGGCAAATTAAAGCATGTGTTACCGTCGACGTCCTATGTTTATAACACAATAACACTACACCCTCATATATTATGGTCTGATAGTGGTATATTCCCCGCAGAAATTCAATCGGCTATCAGGGTTCATGAAAATGTACAGGTAACGTTACTCTCACTTTTTCTCTCAAAGACATTTTAGCTCTAACTTCCTACAGTACAGCCTAGTTAGAGTTTTCCTGTTCGAAGTCTGCTTTGGAAACGCTGCAGTGTCGCTGCTGAGGTGAGTGCTAAAAACACTCAATGTTTATGATAGTCCAATGATGATCACACTTTGGATTATTCGAAACCAAAAACGATAGCATCAGAGCGTCTGATGCTGCAAAGACAATCTAATATTTTAATCTAGTTTAATGGATATTTAATGTCGACTAAGTATTAAAAATAGACTATGCTCGCAACGGTCAAAAATGTTAATCACTCACAGTTTGTTTTGTAAAGTTATTATTGAGCAGTTAAATCAAATTTGTAATGCTTATATCAGTGTAACGTTACGATATGCATCTCAGGAAATTTGCTTTAGCGAATCTTTTGAATCGGTTCACAAATGGTCTGAATGATTCCAAGTGATGTAAATTATTTTTAAAATATATTATTTAATGTAAAGGCAGGTATATGTGTTCTTGAGAATTATGTTTTTATGAGTTGAGTGTTACATTGATAGTATATAATTTGATGTCAGGCACTGCGTGATGACGTAATTCCCTGAATCATTCAATCTTTTCCTTTGAATATTAAAGGGGTCATATGATGCGATTTAAAATTTTTCCTTTCTCTTTGGAGTGTTACAAGCTCTTGGTGCATAAAGAAGATCTGTAAAGTTGCAAAGACTAAAGTCTCAAATCCAAAAAGATATTCTTTATAAAAGTTAAGAGTCAACCACGCCTACCTAAAACGGTTCGTTCTAACCCCCCCCCCCCCACATGTCTACCTCACTATGTGGGACGATTTTGCATAACACCGCCCAAATGTTCACGCAAAGAAAGAAGGTGTAACTTTTATTCTCGCTGTAGTATTGTTGTTGCCGCCGCCATGTCGTGTAGGCGCTGTGTGTTTCGTTGTGAAAGCGAAACTACTTTGTTTGGCCTTCCAAAAGAGGACGATATTCGCTTCGTCATGCCTGGAGCTGATCCGTGCTGGTCGCTGAGGAAATACATCAACTTCGTGCTGTGGATCGCCGGATCAGCTTTCACCGTGGACGAAGCGGAGTCCAGCCCGGGGTCGTCACATGTGGTTGCCGCTAGCCCGCCGGACGCTCCTTCGTCAAATCCGCCGACTGCGCTGTTCTCAAGCCCGCCCGCCGCCGCTCACTCTAGATGTACAGTATGTGGAAAATAATGTGCTTTTTTAACTTTAAACCACATAAACACATTTCATTACACCAAATACACAAAATAAAGTTATTTTTAGCAACATCATATGACCCCTTTAACTGTTCGAAAGAACTGATTTGCGGCACACTAATGAAGTAAACTAATAAGTGTGTGGTTATGTGATTGCTAAAGTACTAGATTGCATGTGATGCTAAGATAGACCTGTGTGTTTGGATGTCTATATAGGATATCTTTAGTCACCAATCCAAGTGAAACCGATCATATAACAAGGCAGTTTTGTTTTACTGTATACATATAGGCTACTACTCTTAATGTCGTTCTGACCTGATTCCACTGCAAAGGAAACTGAAAAGGAATTAGAGTATGTTTTTGTTATTCCCTGTTAGTTGATAGCCTGAGCATTATCATTCAGTGTCTAACTAAATAGGGAATTGCATCACATTGACCTTTTTGGACATAAGACCTAAAGTATTCAAACAAACGTTAACAGCTATTATATGTCATGTCTATGTATTCTGTCACTTGTGGCCCTTTTATTTGTGGTATAATGACTAAAGTGTTCATTTTAGATTTTGGCCTAAATTAGAAATATTAATTTAAAGAATTAAGTACATTTGAGGAGACCTTTTATTTTTAGTGTATTTTCATATATTTTTTCCTAATTTTTTTGTTGATAGGATATATAAAGCTATATGTTTTTGTAGAGCTGCACGATTGACAAAAATCATAATTGTCGATTATTCCCTTGAAATTGTAATTGCGATTATTAATTACGATTATCACTGATGTTTGATGTTTATACCATTGTTTGATGCAACCGCATGCCGTATTTTTATATGAAAATAAACAAGCTGAAAACACTAACTGAAAAACTTTTAGTGCTTTTCTATAGTACTAAGCCTCAAATGTCAACTATGCATCGGATTGGTTTCTTCATTAAATGATAAAAAAGTAAAAAATATAAATGGTATTATAGTGTTATACTAAAATTAAAACAATGGAAAAACCTTTAAGATAACGTAGAAAGAAAAAAACGCATCTTAAGCACACAGAATAACATAAGTGGACTTCAAACGATTAATTGCTGCTTTGAACGATTACGTAATTGTGGCATCCATAATTGTAATCGCGATTAGAAATTCGATTAATTGTGCAGCCCTATGTTTTTGCTTGTCCGTGTTTGTTTTGGCTTGTGGACAGTTGTGATGTAATTTTCGTCATCAGTATAGTCCATATTATTTTTTTCTAAATTATTTTTTTTCTGAATTTAGATTTATTTATTTTTTTCCACTTTTTTTCATTTACAATTTACATTAATTACAAAAATTACATTAAGGCCATATGAAATCCATTTTATTTTTCTCCAAATTCTGCTTCATTTGATAAGCAATTGAATTCATAAAACTTTAACATAATTTATAAAAACATTTTACAATAATTATGTAATGCTACAATAATGCTATATTTATTGTTTAATTTTTTCAGAAATTCTGTGTCTTTAAATTTTTCTGGATTATGATTTAATACAAATTAATTATCAAAATATGGTAATCAAATGAAGGCATAAAACATTAACAATTTATACTGTAAATTACATTTCTTAAGATTGGGTTATTACAATTCTGTCTGTATTTTCCCTTTCTACATTATGGAAATCTTAGGTCGGCTATAGGTAGTGTGCATGCAGTGAATGCATATACTTTGAAGAGTTTGTGTGCTCGGTTGTGCACTAGACATGGAAAATGAAGACTAATCAGGCCTAATATGTATTTGGATAGAGTAAAGTCCCACAGCATCCCACATGTGGCAAAAGATTGTGTACTCTTTGATTTAGTATTAGTGCTGATGTCAGTTTTGTGGAAGTCATCCTCCACAGTGTTGTGAAATGTGGGATCAGACTGAATGTCATAACACGGCCTGAGTCCATGACTTCACTAGCGTGCTCTGTCTCCTGTGCTTTGTGGATTTCCAGGATGAAGCAAGTCAAATTCCAATTTAGGACCATCAGCAGTAAGTAGAGGTCTATCAGCAGAGATGGAGAATGGGGGGACTGTTACTGTTTAGTAAAGATTAGTCTGCATGTTCTTTGTCTCCTCCAGAGCAAAGTCTGTTTTCTCAAACCATACACACACACACCCTCAACCACAGACTGGCCACTAGGTCCTAAGCCAGTTAGTTTGCAAACCATGTGAAGCGCCACAGTCTCTTTCTGTGATGTTTGACAGCCTCAGGGCTCCGGCGGATAAAATTATCCTATGCTCAGCAGAGTTGAGAAGATTAGAGAGAATCTGAGACATTTTGGGTTCTCAGAGTGATCTAAAACTTTCCTAAACTCTATTGATGATGAATCATTTAGAAAAAAATATTGAATCGGTGAAGTGTTTGAATAGGCATCAATGTATAAACAAGATGTCTAGATGTCGCGGACAGAAACTTGTCATCAGAGCTGCGGCTGCCCCGCGAATTTATCAATAAAAGAGTTTCGCTGCTGGAAAGCTACATGACATTTTTCAGTAGCGAAGTTCTTGAAGCAGTTCAACTTAAAGATTCACTACTAGACGCTGCTGCTGAGTAGGGCTGTCAAAATGACTGAAAATCTAAATTAGAATTTTCTACTTAAATATTATCAAATTTCGAATTATATTCAAATTTAAAAGGCATCATTTCAGTTAGGGGGAAAAAGCTTTTGGCTTCTCTCCTGAGGCCCCAAGAGGGCGCATCGAGCAAAATATTATGCACGTTTCTTCAAAGCGTAATAAAATAACACGACTATCTTTGGAAAAAAGTGCATAATGTCTATAAACCATATATAATTAATAAAGTTGCTTAAACAATTAGAAAAAAAACAGCACCATGCATGTATGTATAGTTTAATACAAAGGACCGAAACCCAATCACAAAGAGTAGGCTACTTTCTTCATTTAAAAACATGAGATACAGTGGGATGGGGAAAAACCACCATAACGTCTTTAGACATGTTTTTTTTAAATTAATAGACATTAATTTTACATGACTTTCTAAACATGCCGCTCTCTGCCAGATGCGAGTGCAACGCTGATAGATGTCCCTCTATTTGGAAAAAAGTGCATAATGTTTATAAACCATATATAATTAATAAAGTTGCTTAAACAATTAGAAAAAAAACAGCACCATGCATGTATGTATAGTTTAATACAAAGGACCGAAACCCAATCACAAAGAGTAGGCTACTTTCTTCATTTAAAAACATGAGATACAGTGGGATGGGGAAAAACCACCATAACGTCTTTAGACATGTTTTTTTAAAATTAATAGACATTAATTTTACATGACTTTCTAAACATGCCGCTCTCTGCGAGATGCGAGTGCAACGCTGATAGATGTCCCTCTAGAAAATGTGATTAAATATGTGTTCTGTGTGAACTGCTTGGTTTCAGTTTTGACGTAAACAACATCTCCACACTGATGCTCTCGTTTTCCGCAATATATGAATGAACAACGTAGCAGCGCCGCATCTAGTGGGTTCATCTGGATAGGCTAACAAAAGCATTCAAATGAAATCAATGACACATACATTGTCATCGCATCTCGTGCGCCACTGATAAGGCTGCCTGATGGCTGATGCAGACCTTAAATTCGAATGCAACGTTTTTGCGGTCGAATGTGGATTTTTTTTATTTTTTATTTGACGAAATATTCGAAATTATAAATTTTTTTTGACAGCCCTACTGCTGAGAGACGCTCAGACGCAAGTATTCACACGCACTTAATCTCTTCCTCTCTCTTTCGCGCTCTCTCTCTAATAACTGCATTAATAACTGCGTTAGCCTGCATATTAATGGCTCAAGCCTCTGTTATTAGCTCTAAAATGGCATTTTGGAATTTACAACGGAAGTTTTGGGATAAGGTG